CAGTCAGGCGAAACAAGAGCAGGAACTGCGGTCCATCACAATCAATTTCTTGCGTACGTTCATGCATGAATGGTCAGTGAGGGGGCAAAACCAATTGAAGTCTGAAAAACATGTTTTTATTTGAAAGATGGTCGGTTGGCGGAAGGGAAAACATGTTGATTTACGCTCCACCCATCTCTCTTCCTGTATTTTTCTCTCTGATGTGATGATCTGAAGCTGATATAAGCTTATTAGATCACATGCTTTGTGATCTAATGAATCTTTGGCATAAAAATAAAGCATCTGAAAGGTGTTTGCAGCCTGGTGCCATAAGAGAACCATTTAAAGTTTGGTGGTTCTTCAATAAACCTGCTTCAAACAACCCAGAGGGCTTCACTTTTACCTTGTTAACATATGATAACTTGCACCAATATGCTGAATTATTTATGAAGCCAAATTAAAAACTTAAAGCAATAGTTCACATGTCGTTCCAAACCTGATTGACTTTCTTTCTCGTGTGGGACACAAAATATTTTGAGAAATGTCTCTGCATTTTATTTTTTTAGTCGATACAATGGAAAACAATAGTCACCAAATCTGTTTGGTGAACAACATTCTTTTTCCACAAAAGAAAGAAAGTCATGCAGGTTTAGAATGACATGAGGGTGAATAAATGATGACAGAATTTTCCTTTTTTGCTGAATTATCCCTATAAGGGGCTGCAAAGAACCATCAAAATTTGTCTTTACTAAGAGTTTATGGGATTTAGCTTCATCCAGAACAACAAAAACATTGTGCTGAAGTTGAACTTGAGGATAAAAACGTGCATGAATCCCATCCAGCAGTTTTCAACTTGTGCATTCATGCCATGCAAAAAAATAAATAAATACATCAAAATAAAGTTCATTGGTGAGCGTAATTTGTATTTACATTTTTCTGACATAGTGCTGGCATTCCTCCAGGCTTCATACGCAAATACGAACACGGACCACGACCTCTGTAACTTGATTCACAAACAAATTGCTGGTATGAGCCATATAAATGATTAGTTCAGAAAACATTCACAAAGTCAGGAGTTATCCCCTTCAAATCCTTCTGATGAATCAACTGACTGAACTCACCAAATCAACATTCAACTGGCCTATTGACTGCTCACTCACTGAACTAGATCCATGTCACATCATTACTTGCTGTTTAATATAGCTACTACACAGCAAAATCCCCAGAGTTAAATCAACTCTGCTCAGAGTACGTATTGTCCCAATCTACAGAGTGTTAAAGTAACACTGAAGCAGAGTTAAAGTTAATGGGATAATTAAGCTATTAATTACTTGATGAGAGAGCATTATTAAAGAAAACCCGCTGTTAACAATGTTGAAGATGAACAACTACTGCTCAGGCTTTTAGACATAAAAACATATCACATAATCCTCAACAGTGGAAACTCTACTTCAGTGTTACTTTAACACTAGATTGGGACAATATGTACTCTGAGCAGAGTTGATTTAACTCTTGGGATTTTGCTGTGTAGGCTGCTCTTGCTTGCTGTGCTGTCAGATGTCGTTGGCAAACATTTTAGTACATCTCACTAGAGTATTTCATTAATTGTTCTTTGAAAAACTTATCACATATATCCTCTCCTTCTAGACAAAGACTTGAATTAGTAAACATCTCAGCCACAAACTGATGTCAGGAAAGCTGTGTAAGAAAGAGAAATCGCTGACTATGTGATATGATGAAGAGGGGTGGTCTCCGGGATCCTTCATGGCTACTGGGTAAAACCCTACACAGAATTCCCCAGACTACTCTTCTCAATTTCAGTAAGTGCCCCCCCCCCCCCCCCCCCCCAAAGACATTTCTTGTTTTATGACCTTGTCATTATTATTGTGGGTGGCCTCAGAGAAAGAGAGCAAAAAACTGTTGTGTTCGTGTGTGTGTTTAGAGATTATTGTGGGTGGCCTCAGAGAAAGAGAGCAAAAACAACAGTAAATGTCTCCTGTCACACCCTGCTTAGCGTATGTCTAGTCTGGTTCTTCAGAAGTGGATTTACACCAAGAGTTTGACAAAGTGAATATGTATGAAGGGGCGTAATACTAAAAGGCTTTATTACTCCCAAGTATTCATCGAAAATATTTCTAAGTTAATTATGATAAATTGTTGTTCCACTGCATTCTTCTCTGTGGAAAACAACTAGTTAAGAGCAGAAAGTAATAATCGATCACACCCAATTTTTATCTAACAGACGGATCATTGGTGCCATCTTAGGCCTGGCCGAGGACATCCAGAGATGTTACACATTATACTGTTCTCTTTCACACAATTGTTGCATGTTCCAAGAAAGTAGCCACGCACAACTTCCCTCTCCCTGTTGTGCACACACACCTATATTTATCTGTTTAAAAATGGCAAAGTTCACAAAGACAGCTAAATTCCCCAAAGATGAGGTGAGATTACTAATACATCTTTGAACTGAAAACCCCCACTGTTCAATTCAAAAGCGTGCAGTCGAAATTCTTTTGAGCTGTTTCTATCTATAAATGTTGGATTAAATGTCACTTGGCACATGTTACTCTTACAACTTATTTATAGTGTACTCATGTACAATCCTAGCATCAAAACATTCAGGTCATTCAGTGAAACAGGTGCATTTTCTTAAAAGTTTCAAAAAGTTTTTAAACAATCTGTCATTTGTAATGTTTTTAAGTGTTAATAAAATAAAAATAAATAATAGTATGTTTATAGTACCGAATGTTTGGAGATTTTTTTTATGTTTTTGAAATGCTGCCTTTATTTGATCAGAAATGCAGTAAAACTGTAATATTGTGAAATATATTTATACTTTCAAAAACATTATTTCCTAGTTTATTATATTTTAAAATGTCATTTATTCCTGTGATGGTAAAGCTGAATGTTCAGCAGCCATTTAATGCCACGTGATCCTTCAGAAATCATTCTAATGTGAGTTCTTGCTGAATAAAATTAATTAAAAAAAATTAAAAATCGTACTGACCCCAACCTTTTGAATGGGTGTGTAAGTATATTAATTAAACTAAACTTAACGATTAAAAATAGTTGAAAAACTAAATTTTCTAGTCACTTTTATCACATTTACAAGAGACACAAACGGTACCTTTTAGATTCAATGACCCATCACATTTAAAAAAAACAATTTTATTGCTCAATATAAATAGAATCTCCAAACAAAAATGACTCTTCTGTATCAACTTGGACAGATCTAGAGGATCAATCAGTTAGAAATTAGAAATCATAGACATGAAGACATCCTGAATGTGAATTTATACTCATTCAGTCTGAACACACCACAGGTTAATCCACAATTGTGCTGCTTACGGGTCCAAGACTAGGCAAAATGGATTTACATCAATACCATCTAAAGGAAAGGGCACCAACTTCAACTCAAGAACAAGCCAGAGACTAACAAACAGTATAGTTTTTGAACATAAACAGGGTGGAGCCAACACTGAAACTCTCTGATGGTGTCTGTTAGTTCATTCCTGGTATTCACCATCCACAGGCATTCATTTTGTATTATTAAGGCTTGTTCTGCTACCAGAGCAATCAGAGAGGAATCCAATGCAAGTGCTACTACCAAGTAACCTCAATTGACTTTCTTCGAGCCCTTCCTCCGCTGAGGGGGAACAGGAAGCGACAGTGGAGCGTTAACGGCTTGTCACTGCAATCTTCACCCTTCCCCCCACCTGAACCCCCTACAGAAAAGCGGAGAGGTGGAGCTATCGTTCACTCTCTATCCTTTGTTGCTATTGGCCCTGCTGCTTAATATCAGTGTGCATGGAAACCCCTAGCGGTTTCTGTCAAACACTGGCCAATTTTTGTCCACAGTTTGGGGCTGTTTTTGTGTTTCTGATTTAAAGTGAACAAGAAATCCTTTCCGAAGAAGCTGATCTGTATGATGTTAAGGAAAACCTAATAGATTGATAGACAGACAGATAAATAGACAGATAGGCCTAGACAGACACATCTACAAACCCGATTCCAAAAAAAGTAGATAGATAGATAGATAGATAGATAGATAGATAGATAGATAGATAGATAGATAGATAGATAGATAGATAGATAGACAGATAGGCCTAGACAGATAGATAGATAGGTAAATAGATAGATAGGCCTAGACAGATAGATAGATAGATAGATAGATAGATAGATAGATAGATAGATAGATAGATGTCCTTATGTGTTGTTCTCCAGAGCTGTTTTTGTTTTGGTCGGTGTGAGTGCTTATACATCAGTGTGAGAGCGTGTGATCTGGCGGCTCTGTGGCAGTCCATGTGACCCAGCGCTTGCTATGCTGCGCCGTGTCTTTGCTGGGTGAGAGAGAGGGGAGGGGAAAGGAATGCTGGTGCTATTCTGGGCCACGGCTGGAGTGGTGGTGGTGCAAGCCTGGGCTGCATGTGGAAGTTGCAGAGCACAAGGTAAATAGTTGGGCAGCTTCCTATCAGTTTGGTTCTCATGATCTTGATGAAGATGGTGTACCATACCAAATTGGACCCTGATCAATTGCTCTAAACAAAACACTGAACTTGTCTGCTTGAGAGAACAGGGAATCAACATTCTCTGTTTTGTCACAATAGCTCTCTGTTTACACTGGTCAGAGGAGAACCTCACACCTCTAAACTGCATTATCTCTTGACAAATTAACATCTCAATTCCACTGTCTTTGTTTTGTGTTATTACCAAGGCCTTGGGTGTAATTTGTATGATAATCTGTTCGCACCTTCAATAGCTTGCTGCACTTCTAAAGTGTTAAAAAATAATTTTGTGGTATTGGGAAATATGTGACAGAAGTCACATCACATTATTAGGTCAAAGATAAGTTATAAAGATAAGTAAACTGACAGTCCACACTAGACCAACTAAAAAGTTCAGCTTATACAAAACTGAGCAACAAGATCATCTTCAGCAAGACCAGCTAGTTCTTCATTGTTCCTTCCATGTCATTGTTTATCTGGATACCAAAGGTCATCTGGAAGCATAGTTAAAACTGTGTATATATGTTGGGTTTGCTCATGATTATAATACTAGTCACGTTATCATGGATCATCTGGCATTACCATATTCAAAATTGAGCTTCTGCTACATGAAGCATAAAACTTGCATACTTTTTTGAACAGTTACTAAATAGGTACAGAGAAATTATTCAATTATTCAGTTATTTGCTCTCTACATTATTTCTTTCATTTGCTTGATCTGTTGTTGCATATTTCAATTACTTATTTTGTTAAGAAATTTTATTCCGTTTTTATGTATTAGTTGACATGCAACATGTCCATACTTTTCTTTTCTTTTCTTTTTAGGTTGACATTTTAAAGAACATATTTTTTTTGTATTTTAAATCAAGCCTTAAAATTTTAGGTTAACATTTTAAAGAACATATTAAGGAAAATGGGTATTTTATGGGCTGGTCACCATGTCTTTTAAGCTTTTTTTGTTTTGTTGTTGTAACATTTTCACATATGCATTTCCTTCACTAGTTCATTTTAAATGGTTCAGCAGTGCGACAAATGAATTTTAAAAGACAAATACTACAAATATTTCATTAAATAATAGTCTTTTAAGTAATGAGGCCATGAAATCAACATGCATCATAATTGTCACACCACACGACACGTTAGCTTTCCTGAACTCTTTAATGTAAATTATCCACCAATTATAATATTCACTAGAGGGAAATGTAAAACGTCTTTATTTTTGTTGTTCATTTTATATAATGCATTCTGAGTTGGACCCCTATCAGAGTAGTGGCCACTTTGCTGATGGGGATCCAGATAAAGAATAGAATACAAAAACTTTCACCAAGCCGTTTGTACTTACAGAGTGTAAGATCCACAAGATCTCAGTTTTGAATAATCATTTATCTAGAGTCAAGTGTTGTGATTCCCTAATAGAATAAAGCAGCTGTGGTTAAATCAATATTTCAGTGAGAATAATCACACCACATATTCACAATTACCTGTGCATTAGACCACATCCACTCCTCGAGGCAGATGACGGTCCATTGAGAACTCGGCTGTGGGAGCTGCTTATTTACCTACAATACCACAGCTTTACAAAGGTGTGCATGTAGACATGGAGGATTAATGTCTATATTCACACTAACAATTCAAACATGTGATTAAACCTAAACAGCTAGACGTGCCCGTGGATATCAGCGCCACAGCCCGGAGCACTTGCCCTAAAGTTAGTGGTTTAGTGTCCAGCTTAGACACCTAGTTTGCGGGCTTGTTTGGACAGTGTGTGTCTGGTTGGCCGCGGGCTCATCCTCCCCCACACCTGATTAGCAAAGAGGTAAAAAGCTGGAGGAGGGGCCAGCCAACTGCCACCAAGAGCTGCCTGCTAGAGGACTCAAGAGAGGCTAAATACAGTTGATAACATATGAAGGTTGTATGTGTAAAACAGACAGATTTTTCAGGCTAGTTTCACTCCCATTTACACATTCACCAAAGAATTGCTGTTTGTTGTGGAGATGCTGCTGTAGGCTTCTTATTTACATGTTTAATGTCTTAATTCACATTCTTGGTCTTATTCTAATTGAGTCATTAGTGCACACTTTACCAAATACATAGCAAAGTTTGTCATTGTAACTTTTTATCAATTATTAAGAACTTGCTCTTCATATGAAATGATTTTGCCTTTGTGCTGCAAACACTGAGGCCTTTCGGCCTACTGGACAAAAATATTGATAGACAATAGCTAAATAGTGATGTAGCTTGTTCTGGCTGTTCTGTCACTGTGATATGCGACACTCACTTTTCAACATCCAATAAAAAACCAATAGTTTGTTTAATTTGAAAATACACTATCATTCTATAGTTTGAGGTCAGCAAGATTTTTTATTATTATTTTTTTTTAAAGAAACAAATATTTTATTCAAGCATGCATTCAATTGATCAAACGTGACAGTAAAGACATTCATAATGTTACAAAATGCTGCTCTTTGAAACTTTTTTAATTCATCAAAGAATCCTGAAAAAGTGCATCACGCTTTCTAGAAAAATATTAGGCAGCACAACTGTTTTCAACACTGATAAAAAAAATGTTTCTTGAGCAGCAAATCAGCAAATTAAAATGATTTCTGAAGGCTCATGTGACACTGAAGACCAGAGTAATGGCTGATAAAATTCAGCTTTGCCATCATAGGAATAACTTACTTTTTAAAATATATAAAATGTGTACAGTTATTTTTAATTGCAATAATCTTTCACAATATTACAAAATATTTCATTGTTTTCGTCTATTTTTAATCAAATAAATGCAGCTTTCAGTGAGCATTCTTTCAAAAACATTTTTCCAACCTCAACATTTTGAACAGTAGTGTACATCACATTGTGGAAGTAAAAAGAGCAGCAAACAGCTATTTTTATCAATTTCCTAGAAAATCATAGATGTTAAAGCATGATACAGTGCTTTTGTCATTCAGACACCCTGCTTTGCTATGAGGAGATCAGTCTCTGTCCCAGCCACCCCAACCCCCTCCAACCCAGTTACAGAAACACTTCACTATCTACCTTGTTTATTTAGCTCCAAAGTGACCCCTCGCTCTCTCTCTGTCAAGAGTTGAGCAGCTGGATATTTCTGCAAAGCTGTTGTTTTCACCCTTGTTTTTTCCCAATAGATTTCTTAGTAAGGGCTAGGAAATCATTTTCAGCAGTATTTTGGCATGAATTGTCTACAAATTAGAAGTATTTTTTGTAACAAGGGTCACATCAGGTCAGGCTTTGGGTGCTGGCTGCCTTACAAGTGTACTCCCTGTAAATACATGAAACAATTATGAGTTGCAACAGTTTAAATATGATTTAGTTGTGTAATTTGTTGTTGACTTCTATGGAATGTTAAAAACAGTGTAAATCAGTCTGAATGTTATGTATGTGACGACGTGGTTTAATTTTATTTGGGTCTTGCACAAGATGCGTCATACAACACGACGGCTGTAATATAACAAAACCAGCACTTTATCTTGTGACTGGTCCAGTAACTTGCAGCGCCACAATTATAGGCCATAGTTCATTTTTTCCCAAAACATGTATGGCAGCAGGAGAGGGACCTTCTACGGTTTCACCAAAACAGAAACACACCTGCTGGGATTCAGAGAATCTTCTCTCCACCCCCACTCATCCAACCCTTCCCCCAAGAACCTACATATCCATAATGCTTTGTCTTATTCTGCAGATCAACTTCTCCTGAAGCACCAAGACTTAACACACACTTAACAAAATAAAGAGCGTTACCACCCACTCAAGACACGGGCCATTGAAGGTGTTCATATCAGTGCTCTAGAACCAACATAGGCGTTACCTTATAAAGCTTAACGGTTGGCCCATAATCACCAAGCTGCCTGTTGGAGCATTCACAAATAATTAAGGAAAAGATGTTCTCAGAAGATCAGGATGGCAGCACCATCTGCTATTTTGTTGACTGCTTAAACAGTGATGTTGTTAGCCTACTTGACATTTGGCTACATGCAGACTTTGGTGCATCCGTGAACTACAGTTCTGGTGGTTTCAGCACCTGCAGGCCCAGTTTTGTTCACGCAAAACAATCTGTTTCAGTTGTGATCTGTGCACCATTTTTGCATGATCTTGCCCTCTCATGGAGCAGCTGTGGGACCTGTAAGAATCCACGTCCTGTGTAGAGCTTGTGTTGTTGTTCTAAAAAAGTGTGTAACTCAGTGTTTATGACTCTCACTGTTTGTACAGTGGAGAAGGTTTTGACAGAAGGCATTGTGGGTGCCCACAGCTTTAAATGTAAAAAAAAAAAAACAGATGGTCCCTGAAACTAAACAATGTATTTTTTTCTTTGTGGTGCCTAATCTAATGTTTGCTGTATTGACAAAAATTAAACAGACAATTACATTAAAGAGAATATGAATGAATTACAAAAAAAAATAATAATAATAATAATAGAAAATTTGGAAAAAAAGTTTTTGGTGCCTAATCTTCTTCAAATATATGTGTACGACATAAATACGTTTTGGCCTTTAAAATGAGTTAATAAAATCAATAGCAATTCATTCAAATATTGTCAAGGAGGTCAAGACCCCTAAGGTGTGACAAGACAGAATCAAATGTAAAAAAAAAAAAACAGATGGTCCCTGAAACTAAACAATGTATTTTTTTCTTTGTGGTGCCTAATCTAATGTTTGCTGTATTGACAAAAATTAAACAGACAATTACATTAAAGAGAATATGAATGAATTACAAAAAAAAAAAATAATAATAATAATAGAAAATTTGGAAAAAAAGTTTTTGGTGCCTAATCTTCTTCAAATATATGTGTACGACATAAATACGTTTTGGCCTTTAAAATGAGTTAATAAAATGTTGGGGAATATACAGATATTTAATGCATTTAAAACTAGCTTCTTTTCATGCTTGGCTAATTTTATGTTAGACAATCATTCTCAAAATGGAAATTAGAATAAAATTAAAAGGTGTGCCTATAATCCTTTAAAAAGTCACAAGACAGCAAGAATGCACCATATTCACAAAAAGTGTTCAACAGCGAACAAGTATTAATTCTTAATGTTCTCCAGAGACCATAAAAGCAGTGGTTGATATATGTTATTGAGTTTTCTTATTCTAAGATCAACTGAACTGCAAAAACACATGCAGCTCAGTTGATAACTGCATTGTAGCCCAATTTTTCCCTGATTACTGTCACACTGAGATCACCCAATTCTATGTTAGCTGTCAAAACCACCTTGTAAACTGTAACTATAGTGCAGTGCTCTCAGTTTTATTTTCCTTTCATCATCGAACAGTGAAACTAAAGTTTGATTCTATCTGCACTCCTCTCCTACCCCCACACCTTATTTTGTGTTGTGGTGGTGAAGTGGCTGTGGGAGTTTGTTATTGTTCAGACTTCTCATACGAGAAATGTCTATAAATACATGCAGAGCTTCCTCTTGGTGAACAGAACGCCCCATCGCTGGGAAGTGGAGGCTGCTGGACATGGTGAGTCAGAGCCATGGGTGGATACACAGCCACTGAGGAAGAGTCTTTGGCTTTTGCACGAGAGGGTCTTGTTGCAGGGAGCGAGAGCAGCGTTCGACTTCTCTAAACCCCATTTAGGAGTGCCACATCCTGTTGAAAGCAGTACTGCAAATTAAATTAGAATCAATAGCCCTGCAGATAAAGACACCAAAATATTATATTAATTAGCAAGAATTGTATTGGAATTACCCTATACTGCACATGGTCCATAGTCTATCTGTTCAGAAATACACCTCAAAGAACTCTTAAATGGTATTGAGATTCCCTTTCCACTGTTAGTAAATCACTGTTTACTCCACTGTTGTCCATGCCTAGGTACTGAAAGTCTTGATTATTAATGTGTTACGGAGACAGGGCTATCCATCAGCTCTCGTTCCTTGGACACAGGGCAGAAGTCAGAACGGGAGATCAATGACACGCCACTGTGTTGTCACTATAGGTTTGTTTTTATTAGGAAATATCCAAAAGCTCTGCATCAAGCCATAAATGCTCTCCAATTAATGTAACTGCATATTAAACATCCTGTATTAGTATTAGTATGGTAATACAATTTATTGTATGCAAAAACATCAAGATTGACTCAAGAGAAATGAAATGAAATAAGAGTATTAAATAAGTATTAAATATTGTTTGAGAATGGATTTGAAGTGTCATATTACCAATTCCAAACTGAAACTAGGATGGCAATGTGTGATAAAAGAGAACCACAATTACAAGAAATCGAAAGGAAATGAGTGACTTTTTATAGGAGGAACTAGACAGAGATTCCTTGATGTGGAAACTCCCAAAGCATTCAGCAGCGTTACAATCTCTCTGTGAATGTCATGTTTATTCAAAAGATGGCACAAGAAATTGTCTTATCAGCGAGTGCTGGATGTGATCTTTAAATGTTTGTAAATCTCCAATCGTTTGTGTCATTCAGGGATTATTAGACACATTTTCCACAGGAATTTCATTACTGGGGTTTTGAGCTGTAAAAGGGGGTATTTGCATATGGAATGTATTGGAGCACAATGGTGACATTTTACTTCAGCCATTGTTTGTTGACATTTGAAAACGGCCATATCTACCCACAGTGTTATCGCAAGTTTGAAAACATTGAAACCACCATACAGGGAAACCTAATACCATAAAAATCGACTTTATTTGAAACATGTTATTAACGATTGAATAGATGTTATTTCTCTGTGCCGGTGATTTCAATCTCACATTATTAATTGATTGACATTCGATATTTTAGATATGACACAAGATATTTTAATGCGTTTTCACTTTCGCTTTTCACAGTAGTAAATCATTTTAATTCACAACCTTTCCTCCAATCTCCGATCTGAAGGCACTTGGCATACAGCCACGACACAAGATGGCTAGCAGCCTGCAAAAAACTGAGAGAGTGAGAGGGACCTGTATGGGACCTGTATGGATAACAGATAAGTATTTTTCGTGAGAATCCTCAGGAGACGAGACGAGGTGGGAGAGAGCGAGAGGAGAGCTGAGCATGCAGCGACGCTAAGAATGCTGCATGAATCTTTTATTATCCCCTAGCCCAGTTAATGAGGTGGTGCTTCTTTAATAATTAGCGGGGAGACTGAGGCGTATTTCCATAGCAGAGCCTAAGGATGCAGAGGGCATCAGGGAATGTGAAGAATCAGTGAAGAATGTGGGACGCATCAGAGAAGAGCTGGAAACCACACGCTGAGCTGCGAGA